GCTCAGGTTTATAGTTAGGGCTGGCTCAGGTTTATAGTTAGGGCTGGTTCAGGTATATAGTTAGGGCTGGTTCAGGTATATAGTTAGGGTTGGCTCAGGTTTATAGTTAGGGCTGGTTCAGGTTTATAGTTAGGGTTGGCTCAGGTTTATAGTTAGGGCTGGTTCAGGTTTATAGTTAGGGCTGGCTGAGTCTTTGTGTTTTCTCTCCTCACAGGTTTCCATGGATCCTGGTTTTATCTGGACCCTGGTCCTGCGGACTCCCACTAGGTGGTGACAGATAGCCTTGACTGCATTTTAAATGTGTTTTAACGTTTTTATCTGCATAATATTTTCTAAATCTGAGTTGCTGGTGAACACAGGAGAGTAAATAAAGGAAACAGTCCAAGATGACGAGTGAAAAAAGTTAAGTCTCTGAGTCTCTATTAGAGTCCGTAGAGATCTGATAACATTTAGCTGATCTGCTGGTGGGCCGGATTAGACCCCTGCTGCTGCCAATCCCTATTACACTGTAATCTATTAACAGCCAAACACACACACACACACACACACACACACGTACACACTCACACACACACATACACTCACACACACACACACACGTATACACACTCACACTCACACACCTACACACACACACACACTCACACACACACTCTCTCTCTCTCACAAACATACACACACACTTACACACACTCACACGTGCACACACACACGTTCGTGTCTTCTTCACTAACTCTTCCTCTCTTTTCATCTCTCTCTCTCTCTGAAGTACGTTCGGCTGAATGAAACCATCTGGTCCTGATTAGGAAAATCATTCGTCTCTTCTTCTGTGGTTTTCTCTGCAAGTACCCGTTCTTCCTCCTGCTGCTATCTCTCTGAAGCTTAACTCTGAGTACTGTGTGTACTTTGAGTACTTTGTGTTGAATCAGGAGGCTTTAAGAACTGTTCACGGATCAGCTGAGCGATGACAGCATCACTTTGTGTATTTCTACTGTGAACAGAAAGTGAAATATATACGATAGTTTGTACATGTACATGAATAATACTACTGAAATACTGTAAAAGAAAAAGGCTCCATAACATTCAATTACTGTTGCATTAAAGTCAAAATACTACTGCAATAAAGTCAAAATACTACTGCATTAAAGTCAAAATACTACTGCAATAAAGTCAAATACCATTGCAGTAATATGAAATATTATTGCAATGACATTGACTGAAGTAATATTAATAAAAAGTCTTCTTTGAATCAACCAACAGTCCAAAGTGAAAATATTCAGTTTAGAATCGAGTTTGATTAAAAAAACCTTCAAATCTAAGAAGATATTTATTTTATTAAATTATCAAAAACAATTCATTAATTTTCGTATTTACTAATTGATAATGGACTAAGTGATTAAACTAACGGCTCTGGTTTTAATAAAGGTATTGGTTGTTTTTAAAGTCGGCCATTTTGGATGGAATGAGTCTTTATTTTACTTTAATGATGTCCTACAAATTAAATCACATCGTCTCTGAATGAGGTCAGTAAAACTATTGTGGGAGGAGTCACTGCCCTCACATCACTTCCTGTTTCATTGAACACACAAGAAGCTGGAGGACCCAGTTATTATTACATTTATTATTACAGTTATTATTACAGTTATTATTGGACATCCTGTAGCCAATCAGAATGAGCCAGAGATTAATATGAGATGGTCTACAATAAATACTATGTGAGGAAATAAGTTGATAGAGGATAATAGATGATAATAGATGATAATAGATGATAATAGACTGTATAAGATGATGATAATAGATGATAATAGATGATAATAGACTGTATAAGATGATGATAATAGATGATAATAGACTATAATATGATGATAATAGACTATAAGATGATGATAATAGATGATAATAGACTATAAGATGATGATAATAGATGATAATAGATATTAATAGACTGTATAAGATGATGATGTAAGATGATAATAGATGATAGTAGACTGTATAAGATGATGATAATAGATAATAGATATTAATAGACTGTATAAGATGATGCTGTAAGATGATAATAGATAATAGAATATATAAGAGGATAATAGAGGATAATAGATGATAATAGATATTAATAGACTATAAGATGATGATGTAAGATGACAATAGATGATATTAGACTATATAAGAGGATAATAGATGATAATAGATATTAATAGACTGTATAAAATGATGATAATAGATGATAATAGATATTAATAGACTATAAGATGATGATGTAAGAGGACCTGGTGATGTATATAAAGACTCTCTCTCAGACAGACTCTTATTGTTCAGCAGGACCGACGCTGAGTGAGCATCAGAATGTTAATGACGCTACAAACACTCTGATTAAACATATGAAGCTGCACTGATAACACAGAAGAACTACGTTTCACACAAGCGTCAGAAAAACTACAAACATGTCTGAAGAAGAACCAATCGGTACAAGAAAGAGTTAGAGTGAAACAACGAATGAGGACAAGAGAACAAACTGAAACGAGAAGATTCTAGAAAACAAAAAAAACTAGAAGAGAAAGAAAACGGTTCAGACAGAGAAGGAAACGAGGAGATAAGAGAAGGAAACAAGGACATGAGATGAAGAGAGAGAAAAAATATTACAGAATCAAGAAAAAAAGAACATCAGAAGAAATAATAGAAACGAAACTCAGTAAAAGAGTTGAGATGAAGAAACATATAAACATATAAAGTACACAAAGAAGAGACAGAGACAGATGTAGTAGTACTGCCTCAGAGTACATCAGTACTACTAGTACATAGAGAAGGATGAGAGGAGGAGGTAGAGAAGGAGGAGAGGAGCAGATAGAGGAGGAGAGGAGCAGATAGAGGAGGAGGTAGAGAAGGAGGAGTGGAGGAGGTAGAGGAAGAGAGTTATTGTGCGTCAGACTTCAGGAAGCAGCCGTTTCCTTCCTGTCTTTGTCTTTCCATGTCACACACACTGACCCCCCCATACATACAAACAAACACACACACACAAACAAACACCAATTAGCACTGTGTACCCAGGCTGATCTAATGTGTGTTATTATCGGCTGTAAAACACCAGCAGCTCTGTGTGTGTGTGTGTGTGTGTTCAGTTCTAGTAGCTTCACAGTTAGCCATTAGCATGTGGCGATGCGAACACTCCGCAAAACGTGATCCTGAGAGGTGATTGGACGAGACTGGACAGGCAGAGGAAATGACACGCGCAGCTCCCAGCAGCACCTGGGGCAGTGTGTGTGTGTGTGTGATTGAAAGTGACAGTGGACACACCCACTCTGACAGACAGAAGTGGCCTGTGGTGTCAGTGGTGGCATTTAGCTGGTGAGACACACATATACACACACACGATGACAGTGAGCATGAGACAAGATGGCAGCAAGAAAACAACAGACTGTGTTTTTGTGACGGATGGAAGATATTCAGACAGGAAGGAAACGAAAGGTAGAGAAGGAAGCAGGAAACAAGGATGTAGGGAAGTGAACAGGGGGAGGTAGAGTCAGATGTCACGTTCTGAGTCGCACAACTATAACCACTCGGTTACAGTGGTTAACGATGGGAACTCAAATGAACACCACTTAGTAAAGTTTAGGGTTAACATCGAGGTTTGGTTTAAAATAAGAAAGTACGGACGACACGACACACCAACGAGACTTCAAACTCAACACCACCAACGAGGCTTCAAACTCAACAACACCAACGAGACTTCAAACTCAACACCACCAACGAGACTTCAAACTCAACACCACCAACGAGACTTCAAACTCAACACCACCAACGAGACTTCAAACTCAACACCACCAACGAGATTTCAAACTCAACACCACCAACGAGACTTCAAACTCAACACCACCAACGAGACTTCAAACTCAACACCACCAACGAGACTTC